ATTTGTCTCTACTATGTGTGTCCTGCACTAAATGATCAAACACCAAAAAGGGGGCACAGTACAGAAGTTAAGCACAGATCTGGCAAAAGAGTCCTGTGTACACACACAAACCAGGACTGAATGATCACAAAATCACTTACTGTCCAACTGGAGTTGCACTCGTACTAATTCAGATTTCATGTTTCTACTCAGAGTTCGTAGGGTGTAGAATCCAATGTCATTCCAGGTGACATTCTGGAGCAGCAGGGATCCGTTGCTGTACACTCTCTCTCTGCCATTGTGTACAGGGCCCAACAAAGTTGAATGGGTGGCTATTATGTGCTGAGCAATCTCAAAGTTCTTGAACACAATCCCACCTTTGTACCAGAAAAAGGATCGAAGATTCTCCGGGAGATTGTGAGCCACTAGAAGAACGCTTTCTCCTTCTACAATGCTGGGTGGAACTAATTCAATAGTGGGCTGGGCAGAGGAGCAAGGGCACCCACAATGGGTATCTAGAAGGGAAGAGAGAGATGAATCAATAGTCAGACTTTCATATTTGGCTAAGTTGAGACCCTGTGTCCTGAGCAAGTATGCCATAGCTTAGTTTAGATGTGTGAGCGGGTGTCTTTCTGTCATTTACTGACTTCCATGTCCTCAGTGTCCCTGCACTTGTCATTTCCTATGTATGGCTCCCTCTGCTCAGGTGTCAATATGGCCCAAGTCCAATGCCCTCAGACTCCCTGCTCACATGCAGTGTAGATTGGTTTGGGGGATGACTTCTTGGCCCCTTTCCCTCTAGACTATGACACCTGACTGGATGACATTCTGTTGATTATGTCCTTTACTCTTGTGGTTCCAGTCAACACCTGACTTTCTTTACTTTTAGTCCACTAGGACTATGGAATTGTGAGAACCTGGATTTCTCTCTTATTTTTAAAGAACTGGTGCCTGGAAAATGTGGTGATATCTTGTTTATACACATAAAGCTTGTCTGAAGATCAGAGGATGGAGCTTGCCACTACTTAACCATAGAGTTCAGGAGGTCTGTACAGATAGACAGGAAGGGAGATGCCTGGGCAGAAAAAGGAAGTGAAAGGGCTGGGCATAGACAGGAAGTGAGATGGATGGGCAGAGACAGGAAGTGAGAAGGCTGTGTGGAGATAGGATATAAGTTGGAAGAAATAGGAATTTGCTTTTATCCAACCAGGAAACTAGTGAGGTAAATGTGGCTTTAGCTTGTTCCTTCTCTCTCATCTCTAAGCATTTAGTCTATGTTTGAATCCTGATTTTTAGTATTTATACCAATTAAGAACTCCATTTACTAATCTAACCAAAAGCAATCTACAGTTTCAATGCAATCCCAGCAAAATTCATCACAGACCTGAAAGAACAATGTTCAACATTATATGGAAAAACAAAAAACCCAGGCTAGCCAAAACAACCCTGTATAACAAAGGAACTTCCAGATACGTCACCATGTCTGACTTCAAGCTCTATTATAGAGCTATAGTAATAAAAACAGCTAGCTATTGGCACAAAAACTGACAGGTGTAACAACAGATCCTAATTAGAAACCCGGATATTAATCCACACATCTACAAACACCTAATTTTTGACAAAGAAGTTAAAATTATACAGTGGAAAAAAGAAACCTTCTTCAACAAATGGAACTGGCATAACAGGATGCTGACATGTATAAGATTGCAGATATATCCATATCTATTGCCATGCTCAAACTTTAAGTCCAAATGGATCAAAGACCTCAACATAAATCCAGACACTGAGCCTCTTAGAAGAGGAACTGGAAGGTACCCTTGAATGAATTAGTAAAGGAGACCACTTCCTGAACATAATACCAGTTGCACAGACACTGAAATTGACAATTAATAAAGGGGACCTCCTGAATCTGAGAAGCTTCAGTAAGGCAAAGGACACAGTCAACAAAACAAAACAACAGCCCACAGAATGGGAAAAGGTCTTCACCAACCCCACATCAGATAGAGGGCTGATTTCCAAAATATACAAAAGACACAAGAAGCTAATCACCAAAACACCAAATAATCCAAGTAAAAAGTAGTGTGCAGAAGTAAATAGAGAATTCTCAATAGAGGACTCTCAAATGGCCAAAAGGCACTGAAGAAGGTGCTCAACATCCTTAACCATCAGGGAAATGCAAATCAAAACAACTCTGAGATACCATCTTACTCCTGTCAGAAAAGCTAAAATCAAAAACACCACTAAAACGTTATACTGGAGAGGATGTGGAGAGAGGGGAACCCTCCTCCACTGCTGGTGGGAATTCAAACTTGGACAACCACTTTGGAACCAGCAAGTGCTTTCTCTGGAAAGGGGGAATCAGTCTACCTCAAGATCCATCAATTCCACTCTTAGGCACATGCATACTACAAGGACATCTGTTCATCTATGTTCATAGCAGCATTATTTGTAATAGCCAGAACTTGGAACCAACCTAGATGCCCCTCAATCAAAGAATGGATGAAGAAAATGTGGGTCATTTACACAATGGTGTACTACTCAGTGGGAAAAAATAAAACAATGAAATCTTGAAATTCTCAGGCAAATGGATGGAACTAAAAGAAATCATCCTGAGTGAAGTAACCCAGACTCAGAAAGACAAACATGGTATGTACTCACTCATTAGTGAATATTAGACATGGAGCAAAGAATCACCAGCCTATATTCCATACCTCCAGAGAAGTAAGGTAACAAGGAGGACCCTAAGAGAGATATACATGGTCCCCCGGAGAAGGGGAAATGGACAAGAGCTTCTGAACAAAATTGGGATCATGGAGGGGAGATGGGAGGGAGGTAGGGGAAAGAGGAGGGCAGAAGAGGGGAGGAGAAGATGAGGCATTAGGAAGATTCAGTTAGGGGAAGAATAGAGTAATAAAAGAGATACCATAATAAGTTTAAAGAGAAACATGGCACTAGGGAAATGTCCAGATATCCATAGGGATGACCCAAACTAATATTCCAAGCGCTGGTGGAGAGGCTACGTTAAATGCCTTTCCCCTATAATGAGATTGATGACTACCTTAAATGCCATCCTAGAGCCTTCATCAAGTAGATGATGGAAGCAGAACAAGAGATTTGCAGCTAAACAATGAGACAATGGAATCCCCATGTAGAGAGGGAGGAGTGATGAGCAAAGGGGTCAAGACCATGCTGAGGCAACCCACAGAAAGAGCTGACCTGACCAAGTGGGAGCTCACAGATCCCAGTATGACAGCTGGGGAACCAACATAGGACCGAACAAGGCCCCCAGATCGTGGTTGTCAATTGGGAGGCCTGGCAGTCTATGGGGCTTCTGTCAGTGGAACCAGTATTTATCCCTAGTGCACAAATGGATTTTGGGGAGTCCATTCCCCATGGAGGGATACTCTGTCAGCCTAGACACACTGGGGAGGACCTAGGTCCTGTCCCAAATTATGTGACAGACTTTAATAATCCTCCACGGAAGGCCTCACCCTCCCTAGGGAGTGGATGGGGGTGGAAAGGGGGTGTTGGTAGGGAGGTCATGGTAGGATGGAGGGAAAAGGAACTGGGATTTATAAGTAAAATAAGATTATTTCTAAATTAAATAAAAATTTGTTAAAAGGAGGAAAAAACACCCTTAACAACAAAAACTCAGACAGCTGTGGAAAACGAAAGAATGATGTTGCAGACCCTGTAAGGCCATGGATTGATTTAAGAAACCGACAGGTTTAGGAATACAGAATTGAATTTCTCCATTTGCTCTGATTTTTTAATGCTCATTTGTGTGTGACTGTCTCTGCAAGGGCGTGTCTCAGAGTGAGGCAGTGGGTGTGGGACACAGTACCTACCTGGAGGTCACAGGACTTGTGTTCATTTGTCTGTGCTTTTCAGAAAAAAAGCTAATGCTTATATCTACTGAGCCACATCCCTGATCAACACTACCTTGAGGTTTTCTTTTTCTGGGATGCCGAGCCTACTACGCCAGTGTTCAGACTACTGTGCACATGCTGGTTTAGTTTGAATGAAAAGTATCCCTGCACTTCCATTAATTTTTCAGATTCACCAAGAAAAAAAATAAGTTTCCTGCTGCTGAATATCTGGCCTGCCCTGTGTCTTCTCCCCTACAAATGCAGTCTTCTCTAATTCCTTGTCCCCCATAGAAAATCCTTTCTATCACACTGTCAACTCCGGATGACCTCATCTATGAGCAGGCATCCCTGAGAGTCAGTGACCCATTGCAGAGGGATACAAGGGTGCAATCCTAGTCTCTGTGGCCGGATACACCCTCCTTCTGTGGTACAACTGCTCCCAAGCTCTGTTACCCTTCCCCCAAATGAGCTGAGACTCCTTCCAGGCAGGAGCATCTCCATGTGCTGTGGGGGTCTCTGTTCCAAACACTGCTCGGTCCCCTTACTCTCAGGGCCTCCCCTTATCCCTCTCCACTTCTCTCTTTATGCTCCACTTCCAGACCACACAGTGATCAAAAGGGCTGACGAGCTTCCCTGTAATCTGAGACAACAGCAGCTCACCTTGGGGCTGCCCTCTGTGGCTTCCTGTCCTTTGATCTGTCAGCACAAAAGAGGGAGCCTCTGCACTCCCTGTGGGACACAGAAATGCTGCTGGGCACCCAATTTGTTCAGTGCTCTGAAAAATACAGAATATCCACTTTGCTGGAAGATGACAGAGATGCCCACAATGCTTCTAAGAGACCAGGTGACGGTGCTTGGGGAAGGAGAGAGATCCATTCTCATTACCTCCTCTTTTTGTTCCTTTAGTGCCATGACTTCCTTCTTCTGGTGTCTCATAAGCCCATCAGAACAATATACTAATGGCCCAGATACTTATTGACTGAGCCTCATGAGAAGGATATGCACAGGTGACCTACCTAACTACTGCTGGTACGGGAGAGCACAATTGACTGTACACTCTCTGGCATTGTCAGCCCCAGGACTTGGATAGAGAGTAAAATCTTGTTCCCTATTGGCTCAGACAGAAAATCTAAAGAAACCTTTACTTAAGACTCCCACGTGTCACAAGGAGTTCAGGATTGGCTCAGACAGAAAATCTAAAGAAACCTTTACTTAAGACTCCCACGTTTCACAAGGAGTTCAGTCAAGGGCAAAGTTCTGGAGTAAGGGCTCCTTGCTGGTCTCCATGAGGACCCCATGACTTCCAAAGACAGGGACTGCCTGGAGCCACTGACTTTCTGGGAATATGTGCATGGTGAGAGCTCTAAACATGTGAACTGAGGCTATACAGGCGAGGCTGAGGTTACCCAACAGGGGTCCTCCTCTCCACAGGCAAAGACAGGTGAGGGCTTCTGACCTATTGTAGTTTGTATGTCCACTGCATGTTGTTCTGCAATAAGTGTCCAAACCCCATTATTGGAACACGATGCACTAGGGGGGAGAGCAGGCACAGGCCAGTCTGACAGTTCAGGGTGTGAAACAATAAGCCACACCCAGGCATTGGAGGCCAAAACCATAAAATTCCACATAAGCTTTTCATTTTGAAATCTTTGTTGAAAACTGCTAGTGTGTACATTCCAGAGTCTTCCTCACTGACAACATGGACCACCAGGGACCCGTTATTGAACACCATCCCTATTCTTCTGAGTGCAGGCCGAAATGACATGGAACTCATGGCTCTGCTGTATAATATAATTTTAAGTTCCTGAAACCTATATATTGATTTGTACCAAGAAAAGACTTGAGATCTTCTGGAAGATTATGAATTTGGAGAACAATGCTTTGTCCTTCAGCAGCATACAGAGTCTCCCACAACCTTGCATTTTGAGTTCTCCCTCATGGTTGAATGACGATGTTGCTGATTCTCTGGCCACTGTTTGGTCTTCTCTGCTACAAACACTTGGATGACAACCCTCTCCTCTCAAAAACAGTCAACTCATGGTATCATTGGCTGTGAGGAGGAGGCCCTGAAATACCATACAGCCTTTGCATATGGGTAGAGAGGGCAACCCCCTGGTCTCTGTGGCTGGTTCTGGATTCCTTCTTGGCATGTCGCAGCAACACAGTTCACAGTCTCTGCCATCCTTACATCTCTGCCATCTTTCTTGCCAAGAAAATGTGTCTAACAGAACCACATAGGCTGTGGGTGGGTATGTGTCCAAACATTCCCTGCCTCCTCCACTCTCAGTGTGACCAGGTATCTTTCTCTCCATCTTTCCTTACGTTTCTGTACCCTGGAACATACTGTGAGAGCCTCTGACATCAGAAAATAGCATCTGCCCCTGGGACTGCCCTATACTATGTTCTGGTCTTGGTTTCAAAGCACCAAAAAGGTAAAGTCTATACAATAGCAAGAGCCAGAAACCCAGCTGGGAATCCTGTCTTTATTGTGTTCTCAGGGCTCTGCAAATATTGATTGCTCCAACCAGGAAGGGACACACATATCTGTGTGACTCCAAAGGGACTAGGTCAGTGGTATGTGGGGAAGACAACAAATACATTCTCAATGGAGTCACCAGTCAGGTATGAGACCAAGGTCAAAGGCCCAGAATGTGTCAGGAGTGTCACATCCTGGGTTTGTGGGAGGAGGTGACTTGACTCCTGGAAAAAGGCTGTGAGGTATTTTGTCCCAGGCAAGATTTTAAGACAATGCTTATTTTTCCTCTGTTTGCTGACCTGAGTAATGGGTCTTCCCATGTGCTCCATAGTCTTTGAGAGTTGTCTTAGACCTCTGTCTAATTGATTCCCTTTGGATATCATATGATTCTCAAAGGAAATACATAAAGGGGGAAAGGGCACATGACCCTCAAGCAGCGTTGCACGCACATTAAGAAGCCAGTAGGTCTGAGAACACTGTGTCCATGATTTCTGGGTCAGTGAAAACAGCAGTGGAAGCAGGCTCCTAGGTAAATTTCTGGTTCAAGCAAATACTTTTCTGCCAGTGCATCATTTCTCCTAATGACACCCCTGGTGATTACTAGGGAAACTACAGCTCATGTCTGGGAACTGTCCAGATCAGCACAGCCTTAGCCATTTCCCTACAGAAGAGGATTCCCTGAGTTCCAACCAGTGGACACTTGGCAGAAGAATGTGTGTGATCTCTCCTAGTCCTTATTTTGTCTGACTTTCCTGTAAAGTCTCATAAGACCATCAGAACAGACAAGTAATGAACTGAGCATCTATCAGGCTTAGGTCTCCCTGTTTAGTCTGTGTAGAATCTATCCAGGGGACATAGACTAACCATATGACAGAGCTTTGGCTGGTTCCAAAGATGCAGGACTTGGCCTGTGAAAAAGCATTGTTTCCTACCATCAGGAAGTCAAAATCCAACCTTTATGAACTGATTCTCAATGCTGCCTGTAGTAAATTCTGGGACAGAGATCTGGAGTCAGGGCATCTTGCAGATCATTCCTCTGTGAGGATCCCAAATTTTCCAACATCAGGTCAAATGTTGATTCCCTTTGGATTTTTCTCAAGGACATATTCTTGGTAAGAAGCCCAGAGTCTAGAAACAGGCTGATACCCTTGGCTGAGTTACCCAGTATCTGTCCACCTGTCTGCAAATTGAAGTCAAGCGAAATATTTTGATCTATTGCATCATTCTAAATCATGAGTGTCTTGAACTGAGTACTCATACCGAAAATAGAAAATCCCGTGCACAGGGGAAGAAGGCACAGGCCAACACACTGTGTGTGTGCCCAATGGAATGAACCCCACCCACAACTCAGAATTCACAAAGAGCACTTACTGTGCACTTCAAGGTAAATCGTGGTTGTTGATGCAGTATCTCCATGTCTATTTAAGCATTTTAGGGTATACAGTGCTGTGTCCTTCCATGTGACATTTCTGAGCAGCAGAGACCCGTTACTGTACACTGTCTCTCTACCACTGTGTAGAGGCCCTGGAGCACTTACATCTTTGTTCAGGTCATATAATCCAATTACATTGTTTGATATTTTTACCCCTTTGGACCAGACCAAGGTTGCAAGATTCTCTGGCAGATTCTGGACGAGAAGAAGGACATTTTCTCCTTCGACCACATGGGGTGGGACAGATTCAATAGTGACATGTTCAGCTGTGGTGGGGTAGTGCCAGAATGTTACAAGAGAGGCTAGAAGGGAACAGAAAAAAAAGAAATGATCAAGGTTGAGCAGGTGTGATCATCACTCATCTTGTATGTAGGGGTATCAGTGTGTCCACCCTCCTTGGTAGACATAGCATCATGAATTCCATTAGCTCCAAAACTCTGACTGTGTCATAAACTCACTTAGAAATACTGAGGAAAAATGGGAATCAGTCTACCACAAATCCAGCAATTCCGCTCTTAGACATACACCCTAAAGAAGCACATTCATGCAACAAAAACATCTGTTAAACTATGTTCAGAGCAGCATTTTATGTAATAGCCACAACCTGGAAGCAACCTAGATGCCCCTCAACTGAAGAATGGAGAGAAAATGTGGTACATTTACACAATGGAGTACTACTCCGTGGGGGGAAAAAATGATGGAATCTTGAAATTCACAGGCAAATGGATGGAACTAGAAGAAACCATTCTGAGCGAGGTAACCCAATCACAAAAAGACAAACATGGTATGTACTCACTCATATGTGGATTTTAGACATAGAGCAAAGGATTGCCAGCCTGCATGAGGCTGTTTTTTCCATGTACCATGAGGGAGCAGGAGACTGAATTCAGGTTGTCGTGTCTCCACATACTGAGACATCTCAGTGGTCCACCCCTAATTGATTTCTATATTGAGGGTCACACTGTCATTTTGGAGAACATCAGACTTCAGAACATGACAGCCAATGTTCTTGATTGTGAATAGGGAGTGTTTGAGGCTCTTCTTATCCCCTCATCACCTCTTGTCCTCTGAGAGCTTCAGGGTGCTGAGCCTCTGTCCCTCCTGTACCTTCTGCCCCAGGACTGCAAACAGAAACCTCAAGTCTCCTCTCAGGCTCCTGTCCTCTTGAGGAAACTCCAGCCTGCCTCCAAGTTCCCCTGCACCCTCACAGTCAGAGGGTGGGTGCACTTACCTGTGAGCAGAAGCCCCTGCCAGGGAGTGCACCCATTGCACAGAAGCACAGAGGGCATCTCCGTCTCTCTTCTCACCTCACTGATAACCCTTTCAGGAGAAGAACTTCAGCTCCTGCAAGGTGTTCAGTCTCTGCAGGTATCTTTCCTATGAGCTGATGATCCTTTCAGGCAGGAGCACTTCTCAGAATCCAAAACACTGTGTCCAAGGCACTGTTCAATCATCTCCATTCAAGTGCCACCCAAAACCCATTTCAACTTCCCTTTATGCTTCTCCTCCAAGCTGCACTTTGAGAAACAACAATGATAAGCATCCCCGTGCCCTAGAGAACAATGATTCATCACCGGGCTGACACCTGCTGGGTCTTACCTTGAGTATGTCAGAACCAGAGGGAGCCTTCAACAAGCCTATGTGTCCTTGAGACACAGAGATCCAACTGAGAACACTGCCTGCCCTGTGTTCTCAATGTGTACTTTTGTAATTCACTGAGGACAGTTCCATAAATGTCTCTTAAGCCTGGAAAGAGACCAGCTTTGACTTGAGTCTTGACTAGGAATGAAGATCAATCTTTTATCACTAACATAACCAGTCAAAGTTGTGTCCAAGGACAAAGGCCCAGGAGCAGTTGCATGAGGAGTTCCATATTCTTAGTGTGTGAAGCAGATGAGCAATTGTCCTTGAAAGGGCTGGTAGCTCCATCTTACTATGGGGGGCGACAAGTCAACATTCTAGCATTATGTGTTGTGTAACTGTGTTAGGTGAGACCATGTCCTCTCTGATATTCCTCTGTCATCATTGCCTGTGCCTACCTGATTCCCTGGTGGTAATCTTGTCTTTTTCCCTTTGAGAGATTCCAGGAGAGAGAGGACCTTAGGGATCCCCATGTAGAAAGGTGTTCTCAGAAAAGTGTAGCAGCCAGGAGGTTTGGCTAAAACAAGGCAGGGAGCTCCAGGTTGTTAGAGACAGGAATAGAAACAAGTCTACTAGGCAAGGTCATGCCTACATAAAGGAAACAATTTTCTGACAGTAAACCCATTTGTTTAACTGCTAGAACAGCAATATAGTGCCCAGAGCTGTATCAAGCATGGTCCAAGTCAATTGTGACATGTTCTGAAACACTGAATACATATAAAATGCAATGTATGTAATCCTGTTCACTGTCCTCTCCTGAATTCCAAATACCACCTAATAGAGGGTGGGTGTAGCCATACTTCAGAATTGTCCTGGGAATACCTGGACTGAAGATGGAATCAACGTTTAACCAGAATCCAGGTATCCTCAGTAGGAGCCTTGTGGTGAGTAAATGTCAGAGGAACATCCTAGGACATAGAAGAGGAGACATCCAGACATCGGGTCCCATGTCGGTAATTGCAGCACTTGGTGGGCAGAAGCAGATGGAGCTCTGTGAGTTAAAAGTTAGCATAGTCTACAAAGTAAGTTACAGGACAGACAGCTATTATGAAGAGAAACCCAGTCTTGAAAAATAGAGAGGTGTAGACAGGGGTGAGGTGTGTCTGGACTCAGGGTTGGCCTTCTGTTCTGGGCTGGTCCACTTTTGTCCGGGGTTGGGGGGGTATGTTTCAGGCAGAAGCAAGCAGGGTTTGATTAGAGAGGATGGGAAACAGAGAGCGCCAGACTCACCTGAGGCTCAGGCACCCGCCACAGGACAGAGGGCAGGGTGTGTAAACAGGGGTGAGGTGTGTCCAGACCCAGGGTGGACCTTCTGGTCTGTGCTGGTCCACTCTTGTCTGGATGGGCTCGGGCAGAATTGAGCAGGTGTTGATGGAGGAGGGGGGTGGTGACGGGCAGAGCAGCTCCCAGACTCACCTGAGGCTACGGCAGCTTTGGCAGGACAGAGGGCAGGATGTAGACAGGGGTGAGGTGTGTCCAGACTCAGGGTGGGCCTTCTGGTCTGGGCTGGTCCCCTGAGGCTAGAGCAGCCTCCGAAGGACACAGGGCAGGGTGTATCCAGGGGTGAGGTGTGTCCGGACTCAGTGTGGGCCTTCTGGTCTGGGCTGGTCCACTCTTGTCCCGATTGGTTCAGACAGAAGCGAGCATCCTATAGCTGATACACACCTTCAGCAAAGTAGCAGGATACAAAATTAACTCAAAAAATCAGTAGCCCTACTATATACAGATGATAAATGCAATGAGAAAGAAATCAGAGAAACATCACCCTTCACAATATTCACAAGCAACATAAAATACCTTGGGGTAACGCTAACCAAAAAAGTGAAAGACCTGTACAATAAGAACTTTGAGACTTTAAAGAAAGAAATTAAAGAAGATACCAGAAAATGGAAAGATATCCCATGCTCTTGGATAGGTAGATTCAACATAGTAATCTACAGAGTCAATGCAATCCCCATCAAAATCCCAACACAGTTCTTCACAGACCTTGAAAGAACAATCCTCAACTTTATATGGAAAAACAAAAACCCAGGATAATAAAGGATCTTCTGGTGGCATCACCATCCCTGACTTCAAGCTCTATTATAGAGCCATAGTTCTGAAAACAGCTTGGGTATTGGCACAAAAGCAGACAGATAGACCAATGGAATCAAATTGAAAACCCTGATATTAACCCACACACCTATGAACACCTTATTTTTGACAAAGATGCTAAATTTATACAATGGAAGAAAGGTAGCATCTTCAACAAATGGTGCTGGCACAACTGGATTTGGACATGCAGAAGATTGCAGATAGATCCAAATCTGTCACCATGTACAAAACTTAAGTGCAAATGGATCAAAGATCTCACTATAAATCCAGTCACACTGAATCTTCTAGAAGAGAAAGTGGGAGATACCCTTGAACGAATTGGCACCGGAGACCGATTCCTGAACATCACGCCAGTAGCATAGACATTGAGATCTTCAATTAATAAATGGGACCTCCTGAAACTGAGAAGCTTCTGTAAGGCAAAGGACACAGTCAGTAAGACAAAACGACCACCCACACAATGGGATAGGATCTTCCCCAATCCCACATCTGACAGAGGGCCGATCTCCAAAATGTACAATGAACTCAAGAAGCTAGCCACCAAAACATCAAACAATAAAATTAAAAAGTGGGATGCAGAACTAAATAGAGAACTCTCAACAGAGGAATCTGAAATGGCTGAAAGACACTTAAGAAAGTGTTCAAAATCCTTGGCCATCAGAGAAATGCAACTCAAAACAACTCTGAGATA